CCGCAGGGTCATCGATAACATCGTTCTCCAAGAGCTAGAATTTCTGGCTTGCAACACACCTAATCCAAAACGGGAAAGCCAAAATCATTCTTTTCGGGAAACGGAGTCATTCGGCAGCTGTCCGAGTAGTAGTATTAGCAGCAGCAAACACTCGCATGCAAGGAGTTTTGAGCAAGCAGATGGCAGCCAGTGTTACTCCCTGACATGCACCACTGCTAGTTACTACTGAAACGCGTGAACGAGACTGGTTGTCCCACTGGTGGTGACGAATTAACAGCATGAGCCTGAAGTGCTGCGGGCCCGCTAACGGCACTATCTCTTGTGCATAGTAAAATGCGGGGAAAGGTTTTCACTCTGATGCAATGGGAGATGAAGAAAAACTGCTTGCTTGAGAATTTGCCATCTTTCAGGTGTTGTAACATTTCCGGATGAGGCAACTGTGGAAGCAATGGAGAGTACAGCTAGTGATAGTGAACCGCTTGCGGCATCAGTGCTGAGTATATCCGAGCTCAGGGACAGTGTTTCGGATGAGACAGCAATGGAAACTGATAGTTGATATGCAGAATCACTTTCCATTTGTTTTTTTTTTTTTTGGCTCAAATTGCACTGTTTTGGTCGAAAAGGAGAATGAGAGAGAGAGGGAAGGAGGAAGTAAAAAATGAGGGAGAGATCAAATCTCGCCTCGAAATCTGTGCTTGTGGGGAACTGCATTCAGTACCAGAAAACACTTGCGTTTGATATTTTCCCGTTTTCGGAAAATCTTGGGTTTTTCCTATCTTTTTTGCAAGTAAGTAGTAGTGAACTAAATCAGTTCCGAATACATTCGTGGATTCATTTTCCGCGGATTCATTTTTAGTTCTTTTTTTGAGGAGAGGGGTTGAACAGAGCATAAGGTGGACATGATATCCAGAGATTGAGGTGACCACATCTCTCTGGATGATTCCTCCTGTATAAAAAAGAGGTGGACTTTTAGGAAGTTCTGCGAGATCTAAATTAGTCAAGACTAAGAGTCCCGGGTGTGACCGAATTTTAGTTTCAGCAACTTTTAAAAAGTTATCGTTAAGGAAGTTAAATTTACATTTAACAACAATAATGCTATATAAACACAATATGTAATAGCAATTTATAGATCTATGACTTTTACGAAACAGTGGCAGCATATAACAGTAATATTCAAAACAACCGTATAAATAACAAAATGATAGCAATTTATACCGAGAATAGCAATCAGGTCGGCCTGGTTAATCAGAAGATATCGCTTATTAGTGATGTTATTGGGGTGCTCCTGCGCGCACACGATTCTGGGCTGCAAAAGTATGTTAACTTTATAGGCGATAGTAAAGTACTGATTCTTTCCATGTGGTAAAAAAAGATACAAGTTAAAGTGGTAATTTTGCCTTGGTTTTTTTAAGCTTGTATTTCTAATTTTGATG